GAGTGTCTGCTTTGACTCCGAGGTCTTTGATCCATTTGGAGTTGATTCTGGTGCAGGGTGATATATAAGGATCTAGCTTTAGTTTTCTACAAGTGATTAACCAATTTTGCCAGCAGCATTTACTGAAGAGACGTCTTTCATTCTATTTTTTTAGCTTCCTTATAGAAGATTAGATGGCTATATCTCTGTAGGTTCATTTCTGGGTTTTCAATTCTATTCCATTGGTCCTGAGGTCTGTTCTTGTGCCAGTACCAAGCTGTTTTTATTACTATGGCTTTGTAGTAGAGTTTGAGATTTGGTATTGATATTCCTCCAGCACTATTCTTTCTATTAAGGATCATTTTTTATATTTGGGGTCTTGTATGTTTATTCTTAAAACTGGAGTTTTTAGATCCCAAGCTACCAATCCAGGAGTCCAGTCTTTTTTTTTATGAATTGGTTTAATTTTAAGATGATACAGAATTCAAGAGTAGAACAAAGAGCAGAATATGGGAGGAATCTAGGCTGGATTTACTTTAAATTTACAGCTGAGGTAGGTATGGCTGACATATGAGGATTTTTGTTTTAAAGGTGGTTCTTAATGTTTAGAGTCCGAGACAAAACTCCATTCTATCTAAAGGTGTAGAGATATTATAGCAGGAAATTCAGATGTTGAATGGGAATGGAATCAAGGATCACCATCATCTCAGGGACAAGGAATAGTATACTTTTTGCAGATTTCTTACACCTATGACCAGGGGCCTTCATTTCCAGTTCCTGGAGTTTCTTCTCTCCTCATTCTGTTTCTGCTTGCAGGCGTTGTCTTCCACATCCATTTTCTTAGCTTGCTTCTTGGATGCTTTAAGGAATTTATCTTGCCACCCTCAGGAATGGCCAGGATGCCAGCTGTGCCTTTGTCCAGACTCTGATCCAAAGGAAACTGGAAGCAGGCCGCCCTGTGCTTGGCTCCCGAGGCTGTGAGGTGTGCTCACTGATTGGCCCCCTCAGTCTTAATACTACAGAAGGAACATACCTTAAGTAACAGCAGTTAACATATATTGGTTCAGACTGGAATATGCTTTATCTTATTTAATCCTCTAACTTTCCTACAAGGGAGATGCCATTATTATACAGGGAGAAAGCAAAGATTTTAAGTGATATCCTCAAAGAGAAAGAATAAAGTCAAGACTCAAATTCAGGTCTGCCTGAATGTAGTCCTTAATTTATGATGATGTTATATTGACAAAAACTCAGTATAGGAATCACATATCCAATTTAAAAATAATTCTCTAAATTTTCTCTGTTGCTTCCTCCATGACAGCATTTTAGCTGTGTTCCTCCTCCAAACTACACCCTAACCTGCTGTCATTTGAAAGCTACTTTTGCTTACAGTTCCTCTTTAGTGGTCAGTTGACATACCTTAAGCAAGATTTCTATGTGTAGTATAGTTCTAGCAATCTGATTTTTATCTACTTGTGTGTATACTGCCTGCATTCTTGATGAGCTAAGACAGTTGAAACTGACTAAGCTTTAAATGCCTCTGGTTTTATATTTAGATTGAAGATTGATTGTTCTTTCCTGAATGGTCTGTAAATTATCTGTATTACTTGAACATCAAAGAAAATGATTGCATATCATTGTGTATGAGACATTGCAAGACTTAATATACATTAGTTCATTTAATCTTCTGAACAACTCTTCATATTCTTCACATATTATATATGAGAAAACTAACACTCAGGTAAATATTTTCCAAGGTCATACATCTAATTAGCCAAATAAAGGGGCTTCCTCTGTTTTCAATGATTTAGTATATTATTGTTACTTCCTCCCCCAACCTCACCTCCCAGTACTGGGTATTGATTGAACTCAGGGTCTCTTGTGGGTTAGGCAAGAGCTGAATCCTCAGTCCTGGTCAATTACCTAGATATGCCACAAAACCCTGTGTCAAAAACAGAGATTGGTGCTGCATCTTAATATTAAAAATAATTGACCAAACATTTTCTCCTGTATTCTATGCTAAACTCATTAAATGTTTTTGCTTTTCTTTTTATTGACTATGATTCATAACTGACCTTCTCATTCACTTGGGCTTATTACCTTAGAAACTGAGTAGGGTAGTTTTTATCCTCTTAGCCTAGCCTAGCCCATCCCATCTCATCCTATCCTGATAGTTGGCCCTTTGATATTAATGCTTACCTAGGTACCCTCCAGTGATTTCTGCCTGCAGTCCAGACTCTCCTGGGCAGATATTTAAATTATGGTGAGAGTTTCTCTGACTATTTATTTGTGATAAGGTACTAGTTAGTTATCCATAGACTTCATTTCTTCACCTTGAAATTCTGCACTTTTTTCTCCTTTATATTCATATGAGTTTGAATGTTTTGAGAGCATGCACCAGGTTTGTATCATAATCGATTTAGAATTGTTTACCTTGTATTTTTTGTTCTTTCAATGAAATGATGAATAATGCTACTAAGATTATTATAATCTTTATAATTTGGTGATCATGTCTAGAAGAGAACAATATTGTTTTAGCAGATGGTTTTGTTTTGTGGTTGGTTTGCTTTTGAGACAAGGTGTCTCTGTGTACCCCAGGCTAGATTGGGTCTTCCCATGTCAGCATACCAACTGTGGCTGGAAATGTGCATGTGTGCTGTCACACCTGGGGTTTTTGCACAGTTCCAAGAGTTATTGAAAACTATAACTTTCTCAATAACTAATTTACTAATCTGTATACTTTCATTTCTCTTCTAATATTTTTGAGGAAAATTAGAAATTATGTTCTCAAGATTTATGATGTAGTATTTTTTCATAGCTTTCGGGAAGCTAGAGTCTTACAGTGGGCATTTTGACTATCACTTGATTTTTTTTTAAACTGAAGGCATGTATCATTTAACTATATGTATATGGATATCCATATCCATATTATATGTGTTTATACAGAAGTCAGCTCCATTTCAGAAAAACTATTGTCATTGTTACATTGCAACTTTTTTCTATGTCTACATTTGGAATGTGCAGTTGATCAAATTAGTTTTAATTATAAAATTCTATTTCCTTTTGATGTAAGTGCTACTTTTCTCAGTTTGAAAAAAGAAAAGTGTGAGTAGTAAATTTCAGTTAAATACTCTATAATTTAACATGAAGGTGCAGTTTGGAGATTTTGATTCTAAAATAAATTTCATGGTTTCTTTTATTTTTTTTTTGGTCAGTCGTGGGGCTTGAACTCTGGGCTTGGTCAATGTCACTGCGCTCTTCCGCTCAAGGCGCGCACTCTACCGCTTGAGCCACAGGCCACTTCCGGTTTTCTACTGGTTTATTGGAGATAAGTTTCACGGACTTTCCTGCCTGTGCTGGTTTTGAATCGCGATCCTAAGATCTCAGCCTCCTGAGTAGCTAGGAGTACAGGCGTGAGCTACCGGACCCGGTTTTTCCATGATTTCTTATATATCTAATACTGGGCTCTTTTTGACATAATTGTTAACTTAAAAAAGAAAGTCTTCAGAGAATATGATATATGTTTTGAGAGGTTTCTAAAAATCCTCAGTGGATGAGATTTTGAACTGAATACTTTCTAAAGCTTCTTCCTTTTTTCTTTTCTTTCTTTTTTTTCCCCCCTCTTGGAAGACTTTGGCCCTTTTAGCCAAGAAGCTTGAGAAGGAGTTAGGGAGAATTCCTTCAGGTTGCCAAGCTCTTACGTTTAAGGAAGCCCTTAAACAAAAAAATAAGACACTTCTTGACTAGGGAGATACATAACAAAATTTGAAAGGAGGCTGGTGGAAACTACCTTACTTCCTAAGCCACTCTGTGCCTCAAGTGGCTGTGGCCATTTAGTGGTGGTACCGGGAAAGAGTTCTGTATGTGTTCAGACAGACATGCACATAGAATGCAAGAGAAAAATCATTGTGAGCAGTTACAACAGCATCCAATCCTTTTCTGTTCACTCAGGCAGAAGTAAACACCTCCTCTTGTTTTCTGATGGCATCTATTTTCTAATACCAGACTAGTAGAAGATAGAGTTTTAAGCAATACCAAATTTAATATCAATTTGGTTGTCATCAATTTCTTTACAACAAGAATATAATTTTAGGTTTTTGTTTTAATTTGTACTGTACCTCAGGTGAGAACACTAACATGTTATTGTTAGCCCGCTTTTCTCTATTGTTGTCTCTGTTTTCCATGGAAACACTGGAACATCCTTGGTTTAAAATTACTTTGGTCTAAGTGGAAAGTACGAAGTCAGTCTGATTGTGAGTTAAATGTGCTTGCCCTGACTGATTTGTTTACCAGTTAGCTTGTGACTGCAGATGAATCACTGAACAGTTTTGAACCTTCCTATTCAATAAAAGGAAAGAGTTTCACTAGTATTCTTTTAAGTTTATACTTTTACCCTCATTGATTACAACCAGAAATAAAGCCTGTCATTTGACATTGAAAACTACCACAATAGTTCTTCTCCCAATTGACAAGCTTATATATCAACTGGATAAGCAAGTGGCATGTATGCAACCATGAAAGATAGAAAAGCTCCTGTAAGAGGTCTATATGAATTTTCCTCCCCTTTGTTAATCTTGCAGACAACAACAACATTAAAAAAAAAACCCTCTCTTTAGTCCTTGAATATGAAGGGCTGAGGAGGCTGTGGGTGATCAAGCAAAAATATGATGTTTAGTTTTTCCTTCTAGAAGCTGTTGCTAGTATTTTTTTTGCTTTCCATTTTTTCTCACAATCAAGTGTGTTTTGTTTTTGGTTTCCAATCTTTACTTTTTATTGGAGGATTTTTAAACAGGTAATTGAAAACTAAAATCATATGAATTAGAAAATTACTCTGTATTGTTGATTGAAAAGAAACCCATATCTTTTTTCTGGCATATATTTAAAGTAGTAGGGATTTAGTAATGGTTTGAATTGGTTTTGTTTGTTTGTATATTTGTTTTTTAAGGGAAGAGACACAACTCATTTCTTCAGGCCAGAGTCAGGAAGCAAGGACAAAACTTTTACATCAAAAGCATTTCAGATCCATACATACTAGGCTTTAGAAAAATCTTGAGATGCTTATCTCCAATAAACAACTCAAAAAAGATACAAATGGTGCTGTAGCTCAAGTGGTAGAGTGCTAGCCTTGAGCACAAAGTGGCTCATGCACAGCACCCAAGCCCTGAGCCCAAGCCCCAGGACAAGCAAAACAAACAACTAGGCTTTGTAAAGAACAGAAAAGGGATCTAGTCATGCAAGGTAAGAATTTTTATAAATTTAACAAGTACACTGAACTTATTGAATGTTTACAAATAATCTTAAAGTACTTTTCAGCCAAGTTACCCAAGTGAGAACTTGAGTTTTGGAAGAATTGATCATTATGTATTTCTTTTATCTGCTGCCTTTTTCAATTTTCTAGAATATTCTGGGATGACCAGGCCATGCTCAAGAAAAGGAAGCTTCTTTTCTTCTAGGGAAGGAATGCATTCTCCCTTCCATCTGAAGTATTGAACTTTGTATAGTAGAAGTTCACAAGGTACTTTACTAGAGTAAGGGTAGAACTTAGGACTGTTTGTTTAATTGATTGCTGCTATCTGGCATCACATTTGCTTAGGTCACTTGCCCAGCTGGTGCTCTTCCATTTGAGCCATACCTCCCAACTGGCCTTTTGCTGGTTATTTTTGGAGATGAAGTCTCATGGATGTTTGTGCCTGGACTGACTAAACCACAATTCTCTGGATTGAGTCTGCTTAGTAGCGAAGATGACAGGGGTGAGCCACCGGCACCTAGCCTGAATTGATTTTTTTTCCCTTGTAAAATGGTTTGAGTATATCTGAGCAAGATAATAAATATATTTCCTATCAAGCATTGTTACCCCTCCTTTTTTTTACCCTACCATCCCTACTGCATTGTTGGTGGGAATGTAAACTTGTCAGCCACTTTGGAAAGCAGTATGGAGGTTCCTCAAAAGACTATACATGGAGTTCCCCTATGACCCAGCAATCCCTCTTTAAGGCAATTTACCCCAAAGATCACAAACATGAAGCCATACTAAAGCTACCAGCACAACTATGTTTATTGCATCATTATTTACCATAGCTAAGATATGGAACCAACCCAGATGCCCCTCAGTAGATGAATGGATCAAGAAAATGTGGTATATATACACAATGGAATTCTATGTCTCCATCAGAAAGAATGACATTGCCCCATTTGTTAGGAAATGGAAAGACTTGGAAAAAACTATATTAAGTGAAGTACACCAAACCCAAAGAAACATAGGTCTCATGGTTTCCCTTATTTGCAATAACTAGTATTTATCTGAGACAAGCAGAAGAGGTCCAAAGCTATGTACATATGACCATATAAGCTGATGCTAAGTGAAATGAACCCCAAGATAGGGACACAAAATATTTTATCTTTCTTGCTGTTCTTTTTAATGTACTTATAACGTGCTATGTGAATTTTTTTTTGTTTCTTTGTATGTACTTTCCCCATGGTATAACCCCTGTTTTCACTGTATTTGATTCCAGTGTCCTGAATTGATTTTTAATATAAAGTCTCCTGTAGTTTGATGAGTGAGTCTCATTTTAGCCAGTTTTTAGAGTCAGATTTAGATTTTCTAGAATTATGACACAATTTATTTCTCTACATAGAAAATTAAACTTAACATTTTATACTGTGATAGCAATAGTCTTCAAAGTTCTATCCCTGTGCATTTTCTATTTTGAATAGATTTGGAAATAAAAAGTCAAGCTTTGCATATTCATACAGGGAAAGGGAAATTATACTGTAATCTTTATTTTTTGCCGGATCCAGGCTTGAACTCATTGTCTTACCTTTTTGCTCACAACTAGTGCTTTACACTTGAGCCACACCTCTACCCTGACTTTTTGTTTGTTAATTGGAGATAAAGTACCTTAGACTTTTCTGCCCTGGCACACCTTGATGATCTTCCAGAACTCTGGCTCCTGAGTAGCTAGGATTATATGCATGAGCCACTAGAGCCTAGTTAATTCTCTCAGTTTTCTAATTTATTATTTAAGAAGTATCTAGATGGAGAATCTCCTTTTATCCCCAGAAATGGGAATAAATTTGCTACACAAACCACAGTTAGTAATACTGTTACTGAAATGCTTGAGCCAATTGTTGCCCGGTTTCAGGTCATTCATTCATAAATAACATCAGTTGCCATTATGTTTGTATGATATTTCCACATTTTTGGATTATATATTCTTTGCTAGCTCATGAACTAGAAATTAGAATGTGCAGCAATTCTGGACATTGTTTCATGGAAGAAAAAAGGCAGTTTGACTGATTTAGAAGAAATCATATTTGCAACAGAATTAAGGTCAGAAAAGATTCTGTCTAGAATGTCTCAATACCTCCTAAGAATGTAAGTCAACAGTCACACTCACAGGTTTTCTTATTAAGAAAATTCTTATGTTCTTGTTTTTGCTGTGAAAGTTTGTTTCATGTCTGAAAATTATATGTAGGATTTTAAAGCCATGAGAACTAAATGGCTATTCACACCCATAATCTGAGTTAAGGAGGATCATGGTTGAAGGTCAGCCCTGGGAAAAATTAAGAGACCTCCATCTAACAAATAAGCCACCTTCATAGCAAACATGAGGCCCTGTGTTCAAACTGAAGACATAAAACAAAAAACCAAAAGCAAATGGGCTGGGCATGATAATACATGCCTTGAACCTCAACCACGTGGAAAATATAGGTGGAGGCTACCCCTGCAAAAATATGAGGTCCTATGTTATGAACATAACTAATCAAAACAAGGGCTGGGGGTCTGGCTCAAGTGGTACAGCACCTGCCTAGCATGTTCAAAATCCAGTAGTTCCAGTAGACCACCCCCGCCAAGGTAAATTAACAGTGGAAAGAAATGACTGGATGTATGTGCAATGCAGGGAGGTGTTATGTGTTTGGGCAGAGGTGTGTGTGTGTGTGTGCGCGTGTGTGTGTGTGTGTGCGCGCGCATGCACTGGGTATGCCTACACATTTATATGTGTGTGCATATTGTCCCTTGCTCAGACTTTGCTTTCTGCTGCATGTTCTCCAATTTCTGGCCTTATTTAGAGGCTTCTCATTTTCTTCAGCTTCTCAATCATTTTCCTTGAATAGAGAGGCGACAATGACTAAAAGTATATTCAGGGAGAGGGAAAATAGATGTAAAGTTAATTTTAGTAACATTGTAGCTAATATGCACTAAATGTATTGACATGAACTTGCTCTTGGTTATCCATCGGTTATCCATCTACTTCCTCCTTTGGAGGAGGAGAAGGATGACTTTCCTTGCTACACTTCACTATGACATTCACATGCTATAGATGAAAGATTAAAATAACATTGCTTTGGTTTCTTCAGAAGGTCTAAGATTTGTATACCATGTTATCCATCTGATAACATTCTTAAAAACTGGAAAAGGCAAAGGAGGAGGCAACAATGCTTGATAAGAAATGTACTCATTGCCTTGCCCATGTAATTATAACCCCTCTGTACGGTATTTTCACAATAAACAAAGAAAAAAAGAAAAGAAAAAAACTAGAAAAGGCTTAAAAAATTAATGTACTGAAAATGTTTTTTTTTCTTTTGGTGCTAGAGCCTCACACATATGAACATATTTGACCATAGCATCACACCTACGAAGTCAAACATTTGATCCAAAACAAATCTGCCTCAAAGTTGTTGTCATTTGATATCTCCATCTACATTTTTTAATCTTATAGGATAGCATAGTCTATTCAAACAAAATAATAAAATTACTCTTGGTTAAGGGGACGTAAATAACAACATTTGTTTTCCTGAGACAGAAGCTTTCACATTCAGAGGTCAACATACCAGCAGAAATGATGTGTGGTGAGGTTTTTCTTTCTGATCCACAGAGGCAGGCCTTGGTGTTCTCGAATGGCAGAAGTCTTTTCTTAAATAAGTTCATTGATTCTATTTATAATGGACTAATACTGGTGATCTAATCCCCTTCCAAAGACCCAGTCTCCAAACACTATTACCTTCTCAGAATTTCATTCTATCAATTGTGGCCAGAGAGAGTAGAGGTACACACATTCAGATCATAACAGGCAAAATCTGTCTTTTATACCTGGTATAATTTCCAAGCACTTTTTGAGTATGGACTGATCTCTACATGAATAGGATTTTATAAGGGAGAAAATAGTAGTGGCATTGAGAAGTAAACCAATCAATTCCCTTCCTGCCAACAGTGGGAATGAGAAACTAATCCTTAGCTTTAAGTAAAATGTTCAAAACTCAGTGCAGTTTTCAGTAAGAAATTCTTTTGCTTCTGTCATTGTTAAAAAATTGAAATTTTACTCCTTTGCTTACAAAATTTTAAAATTTGCTTAACCAGGCTTTCATAAGAACTTTAATGATTGCTATATCTAAATGGTTATCTAAAATACATGTAAGGAAGTAGAAATTTATTTTAAGTGGTGCAAGAGAGTATGCTGCCTCAATCAAATGCAAAACCTACTAGTGTTTTCTTTGACAACTTCTTTTAAACACTGAATAATAATAGAAAATCCTTGTCTATTATATAGAGAAGTATGATTTACCCTCTTACCAGTTGAATCTCTTTTATAACATGTAGACAGGAAGTACCCAGGATAGCAGGCAAGACAAAGTCAGATATAAAAACTTAATAAAGTCTTTGTAATTATATGATGCCATTGAAATATAAAAGATTAAATAACTTGAAGGTTTAATATTTACCTTTCATCACATGCTCATACTGAGCTAATTTTTACAATAAATGCCATTTTGTTGCCAAATCATACTAAAATCAATTATCATCATCATTGCTAATTCTCTTTTGTGATGCAATAAAACAGTAATCCTTTAGCCATTTGAGAAGGGTGTATTTTTTTGGTCATGATCACCAAAGCTATTAAGTATACAGTTGTCATGTTTGGTGCGATTTAGTGGAAACTGAATCCTGAAAAGTATTAGGTTGATGCAGCAGTTATAATCCCATTAAGATTTAATAGCTAAACTCTCATGTATAATTAGAATGGAAAAACGAGGAAAAACCTATTTTGGATTTATGTTAAAAGTATTACTATACTACACAGTTTTGGTTCACGCTTTACATTCTATGAGCTCTAAAGAATCTATGTTCTCTTTATTGAGCTTAAGCATTTGGCCTTAATATCTCATTATTCAGACATATGCAAATTAATACAAGTCTTCTATGTTTAATGGTAGGTAGTAGTCTTGGATTCTGCCTTATTTCTATAACTAAGACCAAAATGCAAAGTGTAAGGCCTTTATATCTTTAAGAAACTTATTTGTGGTGATTTTACTTGCAGAAAATGTTTACTCTGACATTGATGTCTGCATTTAAAAACAGGGTTGCTAAATTTGAATTTTTTCTTTTAATATTGTGTTAGATTTGTCATGTGCCACGGTATCTGAGGCATGAAAAGCATAACAGAAATCAGATAGGTGCTAAAAAACATTAAACACCCTTGATATGGTTTGTATCCTTGTGGTTTTTGTTGCTGCCCC